AAGCTAGGAGGTTGTCTGCTCTTTCAGTGCTGGAACATCACACTTCTTACCTGGGATTTCCAAATAAGAGAATGCACTCCAAGGCAAATTGTTACAAGAGAAACAAAATTCACAGTTTTTCCCTTCCTCATCTTGCCAATTTGTGTCAGAGTTTTAGCTTATTTCCTGCAGACCTTTTTTTCCTCCAAAAACTTCAGTGTTTCTCTCACAATTTCATCATAAACTGTTCACTGTGAACAAGATTGCTGAGATTGGAAGCAATTTTCTAAGCAACATTGTAATCTTATTTTCTTAGAATAGCTTTAACCTTAGGGCTCATCTATACTTAAGGTTTCATTGCAAAATAGATGTACATTATGGTTCTGAGGGCTTTTTGCTTGCTTCATAGCAGAAATGGTGAACTTAATAGCACACTTGCAGCCATTTTATGCTACTTCAAATAACTATTGAAAGAGTCTGTGAGCAAATGCATGCACAGTCTGAAACAACATTAGTTTATCACTGCTAGTCACCAAGAACAATGCTGGTAGGTAGAAATACCACACTAAAACAAATAAGGGACAAAGTTTGAGACTGGTGTTGCATGACCTTGTGGTGAATGACTGAAGATATAGCTGTTCTCCCAAGTTGCCATCACTTCCCACACAACTGAAGCACACAAAAGCCATGTCAGAGTATTGCTAGCCTGGGCTGGTTCAGATCACTCCTGAAAGCCTGCCTGAGGTGAAGACAGCTAATCCATCTCAGTGATGGAGATCTGCAATGGCTTTAACTATGTCACCTGCAACCACCAATGCAAGTCTGCTTAGGTATTTCCCAAAATGGTGCCAGACTACACCTGCAACTAAAACATGCATCTGAATTTTGGAGACTGAGCTTTCAACACCTATTCTTAGTACAAATGCAGCACAATGCTTCTGGCATGGTCACAATCCAACCAGTACGCTCTGAGAAATGACACCAGCCAATGCTCCTTTTTAATGGGGTATAAAGTAGGTGTGACTTCCCTCCTACTAGCCCTAAGTAGGGACATCTTTGCCTTATTTGTATTTAAGTTCAAAATACATCACTGTGTGAAAGCTGAAAAAAAAAAAAAAATCGTTTGGAAGAGAAAAGCAGATTGGCAAAAGAGAATTGTGCCATTAGCTCTATCAACTGTGCATCCACCCCAGTGAATAACACTGCTATCAGATGCAGAAAAAACAGACTAAATGAGATAGCACTCTTAAGACAATTGCTATCAGTGAGATACTCATATCAGGAGAAGTGGCACCTACGGCACTCTTCGTGATAATTTTTCTAAGACTGAAGATTCTATGGAAACTGAAACTAAAACATTATCTTAGCTCTTAGAGGTGGGCCCTCAAAGCATAGTTAAAAGGATATGAAAGTTTTCTTGCTATTGTTTCAAAATATAGCAAGGATGCAGTGCCTAAACGCACCTTATATTAAAGAAAAATAAGTGAAAAAAAAAAAAAAAGATGAATTAGTGGCTTTCTTCACCACTTGAGTTATGTCTTTGTCTTCATGATGATATGTGACCTCTCCCAATCTGAACTCCATGAAGCCACTAAGCCATTTAGTGGTTCAACAAATAAATATGTCAGCACTTTTGCTGAATGGCCTTTTTTCCTAGACTGTGTCTCTTTTTTTCTCTCCCCCTCCTTCTTTGAGTATTTTATTTTTCTGAATGACCTTTTATTATTCACAGGAATAACTGGTAACAAACTTTGCTTTGTGGTTTAACATGGCATCTGTCTGCTGGCTCAGCTGGGCACTGCCAAGATAGCAACATGAAGACATAGTTTGGCTTTCATTTTTAATGACAAGTCATATGTAGGTGAAAGAAAGCAGGCTGAGAAACTCAGAAAAACAGAAGGACTCCCCAGGGTTCAAGTGATGTGACTATAGTTGCTCTAATAAATTGCCTCCTTGGCCTGTTCAAGACCAAATGGGCCCATTTAGTGATGAACCAGGATTTATGTGGTTGGAGCTGGCCTGTTTCCTTCCAGTGTGAACAGGGCAGGAAGCACTCTGGTGAGCAACAGACTGGCCAATAGATCTGAGATGGCAGCACCCTCCAGCAGGCAGAGAGGACCAAACTGGGAGCAGTAACAAGTCCTTTTGGTACACGAGTGCAATCTACCTTGGCTCTGAAAAGGACTATAAGTGCTCCCACAAACAACCTGTCTCAGCGGAAGAGGATAATAAATCTTAAAGTGCTCCAGCTGCCATGCAAGTGAACATTTGACTATGCCCTAACCTCATAGCAGGTATAAATGGCTACTGTGTGCAAAATGAGGAAGGCTTGATTTAGTATGATTTGATCCCTGCAGGAGTTTTCCTAGTGAATACTCATAAGTGCTTTATCTACCTTTTCCTCTGATGAGACAAGTCTTTGCTCTAAAAGTGTTCCCTGATTCAGGTCCTCCTATGCTACAACCTGCCCCTTTACTGTACGAGCTTCTTGTGCAAGAGGATGTAGGCTGTCAGGTTTCAGATGGATATAGCCTACCCTAGTGTTAATGGTTGTATGGTACAGGGCTTGGAATTGTTTCCTACCAGCTTAACAACAGAGCAATGGGGTTTATATGCTGAAAACACAGAGCACTCTGTTTCTAAAACAGTAAGCAAAATTAAGACCCTAAGTCTGTGGTTTCTGGGTATTTTTTGCATTTATGCAGGATTTTCTAAAGGACTTGTGGGCCCCTGTAGAAAGTTCACATACTTTGGTAGCTAAATTGCGCCTTACAGCTTCCTTTCTTTGTCCAGATCCCATACAAGTAGAGCAGAAACCCAAAAGGGCTGACAGACTGAGATGGATGGAGCAAGCACTCTTGAGATGAGTTTACTGCCCCAGGTCACAGCTAACCAATGCAGAGGTGCTTCCCCCACAGTCACAGTGCTGACCACGAGGAACTCTGACTTAGGAATGAACTACTAAAGTTTCCCCTTGTTTGTTAAGAGCAATGAGTGGGTGTGCACAGCAGTATTCCAGATTCCTCATCAGTACATCTATTTTTGATCCACAGTCTGCACTTTTCCTGCCAACTACATCACCAGGAACTGGACATCTGCCTCTTACACTTAAATTTCATCCTTTCTATCTTGACTACATTCGTTCCTTTCTCTCCTGGCTAATGCAGGTGAGCTGAGAGCCCAAATTCCTTCTTATTATCTGCACCTTGATTTCTTTCCCAAGTCTGCAAGGATATGTCTCTGAAGGAAAGAGACTGTTAGTTCAGCTTCATTCCTGTTGTGTTGTCCATTCCTCTTTATTGTTAAACTCCTGTCATCCATCAAACCCTATTCACAGTTGAAATCAACAGCAAATAAAAGAAAACAAATAAGTCAGCACAGTGCTACACAGAAGTGGAGCTAGCATGCACAGAGATGGATGAAAAGCCACTGAGCCCCAATAGTGCTGATGGAGCTGCCCTACAGCTGTTCTGGTTGAGTTACTTCTTCGCGGCTATACAGCTGATGATAGATGTAAAACTTCAGCTGTGCTAATGGCAGCATGAACTTGTACTATGTGCAGCCTTTACAACATGCCCATAGATGTGAACGTGCTTGGGATTTTTTTTTTTAATCCAAGGGTGACTATAAAGTTGTCAGGTCCTTCATACAGATCAAGTCAGAGGTTCATGCTGTGGCGGATATGGTCTGTCACAAAATACAGAGTGTGGAGATGAAATCTACTTAGGCTTATGGTATTTATAAATTTGTGGGATTTGGGGGGAACCTATCCTTTTCTTACATGTGTTAATTTCTAGGCCTGGGACTTCCATGACTTTTTTTCTCGTTAAGTCTATGTATTACCACTGTAATTTTCTGCTCTTAATCTTTCATGTGTTGTCACATCGGTGGAGAATATTACTTACAGGCAGACCACTTAAGTCAGTATCAATGCCTGCCAATGGCCATGCAGAATGCTAGCTGTGGCACAGGTGTGAAATTAGGCAACTAACATCTCCATTTAGCATCCTAGTCACCACACTGCTCTTTCTTGGTGGGCTGCATATACATCAGCACTTTGGCAGAGAGCAGTAGTATGTGAACTCACACCTTTTTACTTAACCACACCTGCAACTACTTCACATGTGGAGTGATTCACACTATGTGATGATACTGCTGAATTGCAGGCAAGAGTCCTTTTGAGGAAACCAAACCAGAGACTGTTCTGCACTCACATGAAATACTTTTCAAACCCTAGTGGAAACACAAATACTCAAATCAAGTATCCCTTCTTCTGACACTGTGGTAACATTCAGTCCAGGGAATCAGACTAAATCTAGTCTGACATTAAATCCTGGAAATAGTTACAATATAGATCTAGAGATGTCAGCACCAACTGCTCCCATCCTCTGATCCACTCCTACTGCACAGCTACTTGCTAATGCAAACAGAGGCGTTCACACAGGGACAACATGCTGAAGGCTTCACAGTTCCAAAGATGTAAGTGCTGAAAAGTCCTCTGAGTTCTCCCCAAGACAGGACGAGCTTATCCCAGGGATGGTGTGAGCACAGGCACACCTTAAGCACACCAACTCAGGCAAGCACAGAGCAACCAGTGTCTGGGGGGCTCTTTGGGGGTGGCAAGGACGGACCTGGCAGCCGGAGCCATCCCACCACCCCATCAGGGACTAGGGCAGCCCCAGCCCCCAGACTGGGCACCACCCTTGGAACAGGGATGACTGCTGCAGGGGTAGAAGTTGAATACATGCCTCCTGAGCCATGGTGCTGTGTCAACCTACTAAGCACTCGCTGCATTTTCTCCCAGCAGTGGCTGCATCTCCACAGCATGCAGAGCTGTTTCCAGCTGGCAAAGATATTTTCCAGTCAATGTTTTTGTACCCTTTCTGCTTTCTTTAACAACGCTGATGAGATACCAGGCTGGTGACAGGGTGTGGCTGGTAGGAATGGATCTAAGCAAAGCAAAGCAACCTCTCAGCCATGCTTATTCTCCCATGGGCAATAAAATGTCTTTGGTTTTGTAGGTGCAGGAGGATCAGATATGCTGCTGAGAGACCCGCTGGGACCATCCTCCTGTGAAAGTCACAAAGCTGAGGAGGGTGCAGAGGTAAGTCTCCTCCCACCACATCCTTGTGCAAAACACAGGGATCCATGCTGCACTCAAACCTGATGCTTGAAGACACCCCATGCTCAGTGGGATGGGGCACATTTTCAGCTGTGAGGAGGTTGTCATGGTGGGAGTAGTTCACACAGCAGACCTCATTGGTATAAATTGGATTTGCTTGACTAACACAGGGTCTCCCGCTAAATGTTTGAAAGCCCGGTGCAATGGTTGGGATTAGGTGGACCTTCAACAGATGTGCATCTCTTGGGAGGTCTCATTAAATAATCCTGGCACCTCACTGCAAGATAGTGTTAAACCAGTGCTCAGTCCTTCCTCACCATTAGTCAACCCACTGCACTTCTTCCCTTGCACCTTCCCTTCTTCTCAGGCCTCTTTGCCATGACTGCTACCCCACCTCCTTTCATCTACTGGAAACCCATGCATGAGTAGCTCATCAGCATGACAAGGGCAAGCAACTGAGAACCCTTCATTGCCCTCACCTGATAGTCTGGTGCAATTGGGTGGTGTGTGGAAACATGCCATTTTGCTGGAAAAGGTATGATGGGGATATTCCATTTTCTTTCTCATTTCGGCGTGATTGCATGCAGCCATGTGTTTTTAACAGCAGCAAATTAATCCATTCGTAAATGGTGGGATTGGAAAGGGAGTGGATGGGCAAGTGAATTCCTGCAGGGCCAAGATTTTCATCTTCAGGCCTGCTGACACTGCTGAGAATGAAGCACGTATGTCTAAAGACAAAACCAACCACGTTAAAAACTAGAAGGCCTCCCCAAAATTTTTTTAACATAAATTGGTTTTTTAAAAAAAGATACAACTTTATATATAGCCCATATTACTGCCTAAATTTACTTTAATCTTTTACATTTATTTAAATTAAAGTAAAACAGAAATCAAGGCTGTTAAACTGGTTCCAATGAAACTGATGAAGCAGATTTCCAACTTCTGCTATAAAAGCAGAGGTATTTTTTCTTAAATTACAGTTAGTTACACTTAGCCCAATAACTAACACTTTTGTTTAGAAAAGCATTTAAAGATAAACATGCAGCAAGTTCGTATCTTCTTCTGGTCTATGAGTCAAAACTGGGCTGAGAACCTCAGATCAACTAGCTTTAAGATCTTAAAGGTCATGGTGAATAATCAGCTAAAATCAGCACCTGCAGAGATTTTTTTAAATTAGGAAAATGTGAATGCAAAACATGTTTTGAAAGCCTTTTCTTAGATTTTTCTTATAATATTTACTAGTTTAATTTACCATTAAAAAAAAAAACATTAATGGTTTTCTCAAAATCCAGGTTCCCCACAGTTTTTTATTAAGTGCTAATAAAATCCAAAAGGGGCTGGACCATTCTGATTTAAAAAACAAAAACAAAACAGATTTGATAATAAACAACAAATATGAATCTGATTGAATGTGGCTAACAATTTAGAATGTACAGTATAGCACAGAATTTCATACTCTTGGCTATCAAAAACAACAATCAAGTTTAAGGTTAAACATACATAAAGCAGTAAATCAACATGTCCTCAGGGCTATCAGTCAGTGAGAATCCACCTTTCTTTAGGCAAATAATTTACAACACAAACAATAAAAGTAAGGTTCAAATGGATAATGCAAAACTGTCAAAATGAAACTTTCATCTTATGGTTAAATCAGATATTTAAATCATTCTGACTGCAGCTGCAGCATGGACTTGTACAGTTCCCAGACATTTTGCACTGGTTGCTATCAGTGCTCTGCTCAGCGTAGTATCGCTTTGTGGCAGCTCATATATCTCAAGCAGGACCTGTAGGACTGCTGGGAAAGCTCTGAGCTGGAGTTTAATCAGTCCATAACTTTCTCTGTCTTAAGTTAAGGGAGAGGGCAAAAAGCATTCAGTTACTGCAGAATGTGATTTGTTTTAATAACACAGTACTTCCAATGCTTGGGAGTGTAACACCACACAGAACAAAATCTGACTTAGCATTGTTTTCTCCCTGGCTTTAAGAAAGAGGTCTCAGTTTTTTAATAATGACCCTCGGCTGAAGGAGGAGGAACTTTGTCAGAGGGAGGATGACTCAGTGCTGCCTCTGATGCAGCATGAGCAGAATCAGCAAAATGCTAGCACAGGAAAGTCAATAAAGTCCATGAGAGTATCCTTAGCAGCATGGAGGAAAATTAATTTATTCATATCAAATGATGAAGTGCTGAAATTGTCCTTAATAACTTGCTAACTATTTGTGGAAGGGAGAAGCCTGGTGTTTGAGGCAAAGACTATATGGAGCAGCTGAATATAAACTCCTCTGAGCTTGCATTTGCTGAGAGAGACAAACCCAAAACAATTGTCCCTTCTGTTGCTAAAAGTCTAATGGGCAACATTACTTTCATACAAGAAAACCATCAATTTTAGATTAACTCTGAAAAGAAGCTATGCAGACCTAGTTGCAACAGTTTTTTGATGATACCAAGAGAAAGTAGAATCTCAATTAACAGAAATCACAAAACAGAAATTCACAGATCTCTGTTATTTTCAACAGCCTACTTAGTCCAAGTAGAGAACTGGGCCATCACAAAGTTCCCTTCAACTTTAACAAACTTTTAACAAGAAACAATAAGCTACTCCTAGGTCCAGACTGTGCTCTTAACTGTATGGTTCAAGTCAATGGTAATTGCATAGGTTTCAATAGAGCATAGAAAACTCTTACATCTAATAGGTAATGACATTCACAACCAGTGAAGACAGGATATAGATCAGTAAATAAATGTTACACTTGATCCTAGTCATGAGGGAAAGTAATACTATCCCTTACAAGAAAGGAAAAATATGGTCCTCCCAAAGAGCCACTCCATGTACTGTGCTCAGAGCTAGCCAAGCTAGACCTATTGTTGAACAAGACAAAGTTTATGAATGATCGTGGAGTTTTTTATGTTTCTTCCTTCTTTTCTAAATAGCAAAATGCTGCCTCTTCATTGTGTTTTGAACACATCCTGTTATGCCTGAAGCTCTTTTTGGAGAGCAGGTTCAGAATACCATGTACTCTATTACTGAGCCTTTCTTGCAGCTTCTGCTCAAAAAGGAGAATGTGCATGTGTGTGGGAGTAGCATAAACTGCAGCTGGTTTTCTTTATTTTTCCATCATAACTGCTGACTGGTAACAAGGAAGAATACTTACGTATACACCATTTGGCTTCTCCGCAACACTGCTGTACAAAATGTTAGGCGATTATCTTAGTGAACAACTCCTAATTTCAACAAAGCTTGTATGACCATAAAAGGATCAGCAGTAGGCTGAAATAATTTGTCTTGCAGTAAAAAGGATGCTTCTATTTTGCTGGAAAATTTTATCAGAGATACAGAACTTCAATTTGCTCTTTCATTGGTTTTATGAAAGATTGTATCACCAAAGAACCTAAGCAAGTCCAGGAATCTCTGGAAAAATTAATTAATTTCACTAGGAAGCTGTTTAAAAAAAAAAAAATCCAAACAGATCCAGGATGCAATCCCTTCGTCTGATCCTCCCTCTCACCCTGCTGCCATAAATGTATGGTGGCTGAAATCTTTACAGATAACTCAAAAACACAGAATCATAGAATGGTTTGGGTTGGAAGGGACCTTAAAAATTATCCAATTCTAACCCCCCTGCCCCGGGCAGGGCCCCCTTCCCCCAGCCCAGGGTGCTCCCAGCCCCGTCCAACCTGGCCTTGAACCCTTCCAGGGAGGGGGCAGCCACAGCTTCTCCGGGCACCCTCTGACAGTGCCTCACCACCCTCACAGGGAAGAATTTCTTCTTTATATATAATCTAAATCTACCCTCTTTCAGTTTAAAACCATTGCCCCTTGTCCTACCCCTACATACCCTAATAGACTCCCTCCCCATCTTTCCTGGAAGGCTGCTATAAGGTCTCCCCAGAGCCTTCTCCTCTCCAGGCTGACCCCTCCCAACTCTCTCAGCCCGGCCCCCCAGGGGAGCTGTTCCAGCTCCCCCAGCATCTTCGTGGCCTCCTCTGGCCCCGCTCGAGCAGCTCCGTGTCCTTCTGATCCTGGGGGCTCCAGAGCTGGACACAGCACAGCCAGGGGGTCTCACCAGAGTGGAGTAGAGGGGGAGAATCCCCTCCCTTGACCTGCTGGTCACTCTTGATGCAGCTCAGGACACGGGTGGCTTTCTAGGCTGCAAGTGCACAATTCTGGCTCATACTCAGTTTTCCATCCATTAGTACCCCCAAGTCCTTCTCCACAGGGCTGCTCTCAATCCACTCTTTGCCCAGCCTATATTTGTGCTTGGGATTGCCTCGACCCACGGGCAGGGCCCTGCACTTGGCCTTGCTGAATTCCATGGTGTCTGCATGGGCCCGCCTGTCCAGGTCCCTCTGGATGGCATCCCTGCCCTCCAGTGTGTCAACTGCACCTCACATCTCGGTGTCACTGGCAAACTTGTTGAGGGTGCACTCAATCCCACTGTCCATGTCTCCAACTAAGAAGTTAAACAGTGCTGGTCCCAACACCAGCCCCTGAGGAACGCCATTTGTCACTGCTCTCCACTTGGACATCGAGCTGTTGACTGCAACTCTTTGAGTGCAACCATCCAGCTGATTCCTTATTCACTGAGTGGTTCATCTGTCAAATCCATGTCTCTCCAATTTAGAGACAATGATGTCATGTGGGACAGCGTCAAATGCTTTGTGCAGGTCCAGGTAGATGACAGCAGTTGCTCTTCCCTTATCCACCAATGCTGCAACCCCATCATAGAAGGCCACCAAATTTGTCAGGCATGATTTTCCCTTAGTGAAAATACTTTGGCTGTCACCAATAACCTCCTTATTTTCCATGTCCCCTAACATAGTTTAAAGGAGGATCTGCTCCATGACCTTGCCAGGCAGAGAGGTGAGACTGAGTGGCCTGTAGTTCCCCAGGTCCTCCTTTATCCCTTTTTTAAAAATGGGGGTTATGTTTCCCATTCTCCAGTCAAAAGTTGACAGAGGCTTTGATATTTTCAGCACTCTGGAA